TGCTACCAAGAAAAAACAATATAATGGTTTTTAGAGCAACTCCAGGATCTATGGCATCCATGACTCAGCAGGTTTCCCAGATTGTTCAGGGAAACAGGAGGGAGTTCGGTAACCAGGCAAAACTCACTCATTCTCTTTTCGGGGAGGTCCCTTGGGGATTTACATGGATGAGTGTGTCTTCATGCCTTCACAGCAAGAGTTCTTATCCTCTGAGCCATCTCTCCATGGGCATTGCTTATGAAGATGATTATAGCATGACTTCATGTCACAATTCCTTCCATTTTGATACTTAGATAATAAGCAAATTGGGAATTAGACTCTGCCACAAAAAGAACACACACCTCTACTCTCAAAAGAGAGATGGGGTCCAGATGGTTTCACATGTATGTGTGCACATGGAATCCACTCACTGAACAACTGTCCTCCTACCCCAGCCCTGCCAGCCCCGTGGGGTATCAGAGCGGCATGAGCTCCAGATCAGTGGACTGGAACTTCTGGGGAAACTGCCATGGGCCTATCTGTTCCCAGAAGCCTTGTGTCCGTCTACAAAGACAAAAGAATTGACCAGCTTCTGAAGCTGCTCTTTCTACTATGCACTCCAGTGAGCTATGTGATTAGAACTTAGGCAGCAGCAGCCTTGTGATCAGAACTCAGGCACACAAGTGGTAAGAGAACTCTGTTCTCTTTGATCAACAGTGTCCTGGACATAGCCACTGCTAACTTCCGCGTGCACCACCCTGCCTGAAGATATCTTTGTAGAAATCACCAGGGCTGTTTACCATCTCCAGAGTTCCTCTTCATCCATCTTTTAACCTAGATTTCTTAACCTTTCTGTAGCAGACATAAAATCTATTCCATCTTCTGCTTGGACCCCCAGTGAGACCATATTTTTGTGGTCTTCCGCAATGGGGGGTGACTGGGAAGGACTATGGGACATTGATAACTTGTTTATTACATCTGAGGGGTCTTGCTCTCTTTTTGTCCATCAAGATCTTTATATCTCCTACTTATCTGACATGGCAATTTATTATCAAGGTGAACCCACAAAATAGGAAGTGACAAGGTAAAGTTACCTAGGATTCCGTCTAAGTTCCCTACTACTGAGCTGAATCACCTCTACCCCAACAAGCCGAGCTCGTAGGACGAAGGCCGTGTGCTGAACCATTGCATTTCTCTTCAGTCTCTCTGAAGTGCTTCTTGCCACCTCTGCAATCATCCCCAATATAGTTTTACTTCTATTTCTGTGACACACTTCTCCAGATACTTCTTCCTTTTCCCTCCATCTTCTGTCTCTCCAACCAACCTTCTGCCAATGTCTTAAACTTAGGCATTTTCCCTGGGCCCTCTTACCTCCCTTTCCTCACTTTGCATGGTGGCTAGTCTTGGTTGTCAACTGGAAACAACAAAGCACAAGTCACCAGGCTCTCCTGGGAGGAACTGTCTTGATCAGATTGTTTGAAGCAGGAAGACCCACCCTAAATGTGGGCCGCACACACCGGTGGCAGCCCAGATAAAAGGACATGGGAGAAGGAAACTTTTGCTTTTTGCTTGCTTGCCTTCACTCTTGCTGACAAGTGCATCAACACCGTGAACTGAGGCACCCACCCTTTTGCTGGTATCGGAACGAGGTTCTTGGAGCTGAAGACCCAATGGCTCTCCAGGAACCCTCCGGGCTTTCAGAGCAGGTTGAGCTGCTGAGACATCCAATCTTACAAACTAGGCAAGTAGCTACCAGATTCTGGGGCTCTTCACTGTGAGACTGCAATTTCTGAACTACCTGGACCACATCCTGTAAGCCAATCTACTAAATTACCTTTTGATATGTACTATTTATCTCCCAGTCTTGTTCCTTTATAGAACCTGGCCAACATGCTTTATATGTTATTTCTGTTTTCTGGAACTGTTTCCATCCCTGGGCTTCATTCACCCATCATCCATCTGTTGACAGTCCCCAAATCTATCTTCCACCCCACATTCCAAAGCTTGCCGTCGTTATCCTCCAAACTTTACTCGTGTGTATATTCTCTCTAGTCCCAGCCCTTCACTCTAATCCTGACTTTTGTAACTCCTTCCTTCAATCTCCAACTCTACTCAGCCACGGGTGCACCAGTTAGATTGCATGAAAGCCTCACAGAGTGACCAACAGGCTGCCAGTCCGTGCTTCTCCTCTGCCTTTCCCACCTCCTTCATCTTTGCAACAAATCCCCAGGCATCTCGGTACCGTGTGCCTTTCCAACCTGTTCACCACGCTCTGGTCAGACCTGCTGAACAAAGTGAATCCACAATAGCTGTATTAGGACTTGGTGTTTCTTGGGATTTCAGCCCTTGATGGTAGAGAGAGCATGGTAGAACAGAGGCGTTCCTTCATGGCGGAGGGAGGCGGTGTGTGGCAGAAGCTGTGTGCATGGCAGCTGGCCAGGTCTCAACGAGCTAGTCACCTACTTCTGCCAGCTATCTTAAATATGCTCTGGGCTACCAACAGAGCCCCAGCAGCTGGGAAACAAGCATTCAAAATGAATGTCTGGTGAAGACATTAGAGATTTACATGTACACACACACACTCATTTGACTGATAGAGACTTCAGCTTTTCTATCATCAAACTAAATAATAATTATGGCTACTATGTAAGAATTTCCTGTATGCCAGGTACTATGTCTATAGCTTTAATAAAATAAGTAATCATCTCCTTTGTTTCTCTGGGCAGCTGCAGAAGTGGGACTCAGAAGCCTCACACTACAAATGAAAGCCCACTGAAGAGCCGTAACCCACTTGCTCACACTCACTCTATTAACTAGTGGAGCTCAAATTCAAACACAGCTTATTCTGACCACGGGCCTCACTGGCCTTTGACTAGAGAGCCTTGACAGGATTATAATGTGTTCTGTGGTTTGCTATGCAAGTTGCCTTTAAGTTAGACTATCCAAGTTTGTTCAATCCAGGAGGCCCCTCAGTGGCCCCAAGGAATCATACTCATTGAACTTAGTCCTGTTCTGCAACTGTTTTGCCTGTTCAATGGTTAATTAAGTGTCTGTCCAATGTGGGCTCAGCATGAGGCTCAGAACACCCTAGGCCACCTCCTCCCCTCCTTTCTGCACCCTGCGTCCCTAAGTCCCACTGCTTCTCCATGGAGACCTCCCAGCATAGTGCAAATCTGAGTGGAGTTGAGTCTTGGAATGTCTCTGTTCCATTGCGAAGCCTTTACCCCCTCACTTGTGGTTTTTAGCCTTTCACACTGCAACGAATTTGTTCACAAGTGAATCTCTAATGGTGCCATGTACCACAGATTCTCTGAGCTCAGGGAAAGTTCTGAGTGTCTCCTCACTTGCCATCTTTTGTGCATGTAATAAGTTCACTTGCTTAGTAGATAGTGCGGGATAAATGACCACAGCACTTTTGAACAAATGACTTCCATGAATGAATTTAGCTTTAATCAGCTCTGTGCGTGTCTACTTCTGGTTGTGTCTAGTCTTTTAATGTGAGATGAAGAGTGTGCTAAGTTCCCGAAGATCTCTAAAACCAGGTGAGAGCTATGCTGACCCATACAGTGGGCTCCAGCCACCTGTTGTCAGTCAGCGCTAATCTAGCTAAAATGCCTCAAGCTCTACTGTTAACACAGAATGGCTACATGACTTTGGACACTTACTTCGAAAGTGAAATTTATTTAGTTAGTATTTATTCCATAAATAACATCTTGGATTAAGCTAAATCTATTATTAAAATAGTTTTCCTCCTTCCTCTTTGGTTTCCTAAAGTGACTACTAAACATCTTTAAAACTACATACAAAGTTAAGCAGGACTGGCTTAGACTTTTCGATTTCATGAGAGTAATCAGTGTGGCTTAGGAAGAAAATGTCGGCCATGAGTTAGGATGTGTTTCTCCTTTTTGCCTCTATAATCATGTGTAAAAAAAGAAAGGGGGAAAGAGACTCATATTGAGGAAAAGGGAAAGACGGTAGGGAGGGAAGACAAGATGGAGGGCAAGGCTGAGTGTTTTAGGTAACAACTCAGCGAAGGAGTTCTACCCCGTGATGAAGCATTTGGTGATCAAAAATCATCTTTTCCGTTTAATACAACAACATTCCAATCCTTTTTCTATAAATAATTTTACAGATGTCATTGAAACATTGAGACAGACTTAGCTCTATGTAGTCTTAATTCAAATAGTTAGAAACATTAAGGAATAAAGAAGGAAGAAATGAAATAGAACAGGAAATGTTCAAAGTCGACTCTGAATCCATAATGACCACGACCGTGCCTCTTACTGAGATAGTTGTGTTCCTGCCATCTTTGGTTCTGTGCGTCAAAGTCCTCTGCTTCGAAGACATTAAATAACCTGAATGGATTATTTAATTCTGCTTCTGATGACCTCAACAAATCAATGGAACACCAGCTTTGGGAACTTTCTTTGCTCAGATCAATTATTGTTACTAATACGGTCTATATTATAGTAATGTTTCATAGTTAGATTTACATTTTAAATTTCTTGCTAAATACAGTTATGTAATAGTCATTGCTATTTGAAATGAGACTCATTTTAACGAGATTATAGTACTATTAGTATTTTATTATGCAAATAAAATGTCAGGGAAACATTAGTAATTTCATATGTTGGTTACTATCATTATCTCATGATACTGTACCAAAAGTATTGGTCAGAAAAATTGGAGATTTTCATTTTTGTCATTTCCAGCCTTTAATTTTTCTTTTCCTGTTTCACTTCAAAACTGGATAATAGAAAATTTCTACCACTCAAACTCCAGATTTTGTAATAGAAGGAATCACTTTCTTTGTTACCTTTCAGCAAAAGGCAGATAACCTTGTAATGTAAATTCCAAAGCTGCAATGTTCAGTCCAGTCTCAGACTTAGAAGGCTTACAAATTCGCTACAGTTTTCCTCTGTGTTAATAAAAAGCATTGCAGTGGGCCAGAAAACCAAAGACATCAACAAAAGATACCTGATGTCTCTTGCAGAATAAAAACATGGAAAATGGTTTCTTACCATTCCTCATCTGCTCCACCTCACAAAAGTGTGTTCCCGTGGGGGTGTGAATGAACGCATGGACATGCTTGACTCCATTCTGAAAGGGAGGACAAAGTTGTTTCCAGTCACATTCCAGCACAAAGCATGATAGCAAACTCTTTCATTAAACTGAGAGCATAAATGATGAAACCTTTTCCAAACGCTTCCAGGGGACCTCTTCCACGTAGACATGGGCTCGGGAAACATGATCAAAAGAAGAAAGGAAGTGTTCACAGATTATCATAGCAAAGGTCTCTATGCTCTTTATCTGTAAAAAAGAAAGAAATGCTGGCAATCAAAAAGCCCTCTGACTGTTTTATTTTGAGGTAGCTGCTCACTGGCTACACAGCTGGGTCTGACCTTGAACTTGAGATCTTTCTGTCTACACCTCATTCTGAGATTATAAACTTCTATATCTGGCTTACAGTATGTTTTGTTTTGTTTGTTTAAGATAAGGCTTCTCTGTATAGCCCAGGCAAACATCAAGCTCATGGCAGTCCTTCTGATCTGCCACCCAAGGGCTGGAATCACAGGCATCCACTGCCTAACCCAGCCAAAAGTCATTGCCAAATACTCCCAGGGGCTCTTTCCTGGGGAGTTGTTTCTTCCAATGAGAGAAACACAGAATTAGAGTCTCAGGAGACGAAACAGTCCAGACCTGATTTTCCTTCACTCTTCCTGGGTGTGGGTCTCCCTTGTTATCTTTTATTTTTTATGTATTTTGCTATTTTTAATTCATATGTATGGGTGCCTTGCCTACATACATGTCTGTGCACCGTGTTCATGTCTGCTGCCATGGAGACTGAAAGTGGGTGGTAGATCCCCCGGAACTGGCAATATAGGTGGTTGTGAGCCAGGATGGGGGTGCTAGAAGTGGAGCCAATATTCTCTGGAAAACCAGCCAGTCTCTTGACTGGTGGGCCATCTCTCCAGAACTATCCCGTGTTAAAAGAATAAATAAATAAACCTGCTTTGCAGCAAAGGAGGCATCAGTAGATAAACAAAAGGTAATTTATGTCCAGAATGTTTTCTCAATGTGCCTGTAATACTGAGGCTAAAAATGAGGTTTGCAAATAGGCTCCAAGGTTCCTACAGAAATTCAGTCTTTAGGTGTGTCTGTGTGAGCATTTCCATCAGGGGAAGACCTACCTGCACGTGAGTTACCCATCTCCTGCGACCCCAGAATAAGTGAAAAGGTGAATCAAGCTGAACACCAGCATTCACCTCCCTGCTTCCTGACCACAGACAGGGGATGACTAACTGCCTACACACCTGTTGCCAAGACTTCCCCACAGTGATGGGCTACACCAGAGGTTCTCAACCTGTGGGTTGCAACCCCTTTGGGGTCACCTAAGACCATTGGAAAATGCAGATATATACTTCATGCTTCATAACAGTGGCAAAATTATAGCTATTAAGTAGCAACAAAAATAGTTTTATGGTTGAGGTCAACACAATGTAAGGAACTTAATCAAGGGTCACCGCGTTAGGAAAACTGAGAACCACTGGACTATACCCTCAAGCCATGAGTCAAAATAAGCCCTTCCCTCAGTTGCTACTCCACACCGTGGAGTGTGGGGTATTTTGTTACATTCATCAGAAAACTAAAATGGAGCACAAAATTGTGGACAGTAGATTTTGCCAATAAGTAGAGTATCTAATAATCAATATTCTCATTTTTTGTACAACAATGGCCCTGTCTGCTACAAATGTAGAGTCTAAAAGTGATAGGACTCCAGAAAAAGCATGAGAAATGTGTTAAATTTAGGCTGAAACCCTCCCATGGCCTTGACTTGCCCATAGTTCTAATGTGAGGTAACAAGCTAATTTGACCAGGAGCTTTTCTTCCTCACTAACAAGGTAAATGAAAAGAATAAAATGAAACAAGCTTTTCTGTAAGCCTGAGAATTTTAGGGTAGAAAGGAAAAATGTAAAAATGGCATGCATGTAAAAATAGGTTAAAAGGAAATGAGAGCTTAAAATAAGCAAGCACCACCCCCACACGAGCTTGAACTGAATTTGCATCAAGAAGCAGCAAGCGTCTAAGAACGACTATAATACCCCTTTGAGCTTCGCCAGGACGTGCACTGTGTTCTTGATGGTGTCGGTAGGGATGATGTCAGAATTATCACCGTATAGGTAATCCTTTTTGGATCTTAGAGTCAGCTGCACCGACGTGGCCACCTCCTTGATGCTGTGGTACTTGCCATCCCTCTGAATATGGAGAACTCGGACCATATCCTTCCCATAGCCAGTTCGGACAAATTCCACTTCATCGTTCTGTAACAAAAATATGATTATCTGATTGAAGAAGGCTAACTGAAGTTAAAAACCCCAGCCACAGTCTCTTTACTTTTTTTTATTTTGTCAGACAGCGATAAGAGGTGGGATCCGGATCACTTATGGAAGCAATTGAAGACTGGCCTTCGTAAGGAAAAAGAGGCTCCTGTGGAAGAAAAATGTACCGGACCACCCTGAGGACACACAGGTAGATGGTCCTCTTGGTAGCAGTTTTAAACATTCACTTAGTTTTAATTAGTGTGTGTATGAGAGTTTGTGAATGTGAGTTCAGGTGCCCGCGGAATCTGGCCGGAGGTGTCAGAGCCCTTGGAGCTGGAGTTACAGGCAGTTATGAATCACCTAATGTGGGTGCTAGGAATGAAACTCAGGTCCTCTGCAAGAGCAGTATTGCCCTTAACCACTGAGCCTCTCTCTCCAGCCCCTCTTGAAAGTAATCTTTAAAGTAATAATAACAGAACCTCCCAGGACAAAGCCACGCCCTCTGTGCAACACACAGCTTCTCCTTGTAATATCTCTAGGTACTGATAGCTTCCAAATTGTAGACAGAAATGAAGTGGCTCACCCCCGTCACCTGGCTAGTAAAGGCACAGTTAGTATACATACTAACTCTGTTGACTCTAAACTTATAGTGGCCCCTATGGAAACCATCTTTCTTCTAGAAAGTTCTATGACTGTGTTAACTGGAAATAACTCCATGTCCATCCAATTTTTTTAAAAAGTGATATTTCTGGGAAAATGTTCTGTGATAATGGAAACAATTTGAAAATTGCTTCTTTCTATTTGCTGCCAGGAAGGTAATTGATAATAGCGTCCAGAACACATTCAGGAATGCAGAGCCAGGGCCATCTGACCGCAAGGAGAGCTAAGCCTCTAATGGAGAGACACTTAATGAGAGGCTGGTGATTTATTTCTTAAGCCCGTGTCTGAGGCTTAGCCAGTGAACACATCCATTTCTATGGCTGGCATCCACCAGACTTGTGGCTGGGTGTTTGGGAGGAGAGGCAGCAGGGAGTGAAGGGTCAGAAAACCCTGCCCTGCAGCGTTGAGTGTGGAGATTGAAAGTGGTAAAAAATGAAGCAAATAACAGAGAGCATACAATGCAAGCCTGGGTAGGAAGACCAGAAACCTCTCCTCGCTCTTGCTTAGGACGCAGGGGACTGCCTGAAAGACACTACATGGGAAGCCACTGGTCCCTCTGAGGAGAACTGGGAAGTACTAGCCATCATGTAAAACAGCTTGTTTCCTTAATAAACACAGCGGATGGGAGGCCATCTCACATCTTGGAGATGTAGCCAGATGGAGCAAGCTCTTGTCTTTCCACACATACAAAAGTTCAGGGTGTTTGGATTGAATCTTGCCTATCCAGAATGGGAGGATCTTAGAGATGCACCCCCAAAATCTTGGATCCAACCCTTGGGAAACATCCTCAAAACAAGGATCAATAAGGTGCTGGGGGATGGCGCTCAGTTGGTAGACTGCCCTAGGTTTCATTCTCAGTACTACGTACAGTGGGCACGGTGGTGCATGTCTGCTGTCATAGCACTTGGGAAGCAGCAGCAGCAGGATCAGAAGTTCAAGGCCACTCTAGGATGGTGAGGCAGGTCAAGCCTAGCCTGGGATACACGAGAGAATGTTAAAGAAACATTCATGTGGAAAGGACGCCAGTAAGAAACATGACAAAACAGAGCTCAGGGTTCTGCAAAAGACTTCAATGGTGACTGAGAAGAACTTTGGGATCAGTCCAGGCACCAATTCCACCTTGCCACTCCAGCTTGGTGGCTGGTGACAAGTGGTTGAGTGTCACTGAGCTTCAGTGTCTCCATTTGCACCAATGGGAGTAACCTCCAGCACCCTATGAGGTCGCTGGTGACTCTGCAAGCTCCAGCTTTGTTTCAAGTGGAAACAGTGCCCACGTCAGGCAGTTGGATTTAGCTGCAACAGAGACGATGCTGCTTAAGTGTCCTGACTTGGGAAAGCGAATACTTCTGACACCAGAGTGTCTTGAGCCTCCGGGGTTCTACCAAGAGGAAGAAGGGACTTGGCTGCTTCCGTCCTTGTGATGGCATGGATGGCAGCTGCCCAGGACCAAAAGTCTCGGAGCTCATTCATCGTTTCTATTTTATGGGGGCACTCTACACCCCCTACTCCTCGGCCCCCATCTTCTGCCATTGCATATCCAAGCCGCAGTAGCTTAGCTTGGGAGAACACAGGGAATCTAACAGACGTGGTGGTTATGTGACGGGCATACCTGTCCTCCATACACAATCTCTAGTCCCATGCCTGTTCTCACCGTCCTTCAACTCTGCCTCAGCTATTGTGTGGATCAGCTGCTTTCTCTGCCTCCAAGCTTTCTCACTCCCTGACTGCTAACCTCTGCAACTACCTTATTTCATCCAGTCCTTCATGTCTTCAGTGTTACTTCCTCCAGGTAATCTATCTGAGCCCTTCAAACACTGAGTAGGTGGCTCCTTTGATGTATTGTCAAGATCCTTGCTATTGCCTTGGAATCTTTATCAAATTGTATTGCAAGTGCCTCTTTTTTGTGTGATTCATTTCGAAGCAATAAACTATGAAAGCAGGATAAAGTTCTATCTTGGTCACCATGGCAACTCCAGCACTCAGCACATTGCCTGGATCTTAAATAGGAACTTGATAAATGTGTCATGAATGAATGGATAGTGCTACTAACCACCTCCTCTGCTTGCAGGATGACACAGAATGCTTAATGAAAACACACAAAAGATTCCAATACAGGAAGAGTGGGTTCAGTTCTGATGACATAAAAAAAGTCCCCTTCCTAAGAAAACAGGAACAGGAAGGTAGGCACAAGCCAAGATCACAAGCACAGCTGGCCAGAGAAAAGAGGCTCATGACTAATGAGATGGCTCACTAAGTAAAGGTACCTGTCACCAAGTATGGTGGCCTCCAGGTCTCATATGGTAAAAGGAGAGTATCAGCTCCTACAAGTTGTCCTCTGACCATCACTACACAGTAGAATGCTCATCTACACACACACACACACACACACACACACACACACATGCACGCACGCACTAAATAAATGAATAACTGAATAAGAATGATGGTGAAAGAGGGACACACACAGAGAGAGGCGGAGAGAAGAGAATCCCAGAAAGACAAAACAGAGTATAGAAAGTGTGGTGAGAGGTCATATTGTTATATTGGTAGTAAGACAGCATCCAAGATGAGAGTAGCCACTCAGGGCCAGCAATCATTCAAGGCACATGAGAGAGAGGTCAGAGCTCTTGAGTGAGACCCTAAATCAGGTGTCAGAGGGCATGCACAGAATGTCAGCTAGGAAAGGGTGATCATTGATTCGAGTCCAGCTGCGGTTACACAGCAAGACTTTGTCTCATAAAACCAGACATGTGAGCAAGCTTGAGGGGGCAAGTTAACTGAGAAACGAGTCAGATTCAAAAGGACCTAACCAGATGGTTGAATACATTAGCTACTTTTCTAAAACTGTGATAAAACAGCATGACCAAAACAACTTACAAAAGAAAGAGTTTATTTGAGTTTATGGTCCAGGGGGTTAGAATCCATGATGGGCAAGCTTCCAATAGGAGGTTCACATCTTGAACAGCAAGCATGAAGCAGAGAGATTAATTCAAACTGGCGCGAGTCTTTAAACTCCCAAAGCCTGCCTCTAGCAAGGCCACACCTCCATATACTCCCCAGCCAGCACCAGTGATGGGGGACATCTCATTCAGACAACCACAGCATTTGAACCCAAAGCAGGAGTATCAAGTCCAGCGTGGACTACCCAAAGGAGTCAGTAGATAATGACCAGCACAAGAATTGAGGCCATCCTCCCCCAGTTCTGTAGCCAAGGAATAGGATGCCAGTGTCAAAACCTCACTGTGTACCATGCAGGCAGAGGGCTACAGCCGTGGCAGCTGTTTAGTGTGTACAAACGGCATTTGGAGAGGATGAGCTCTGATTCAGGCAGCCCTGGGAGTGTCTTTGTTCAGCTACCATTAACTCCGAATGGATGTAATTTTTCCATCTATACAACTAGAATAATTGTAATGTCCCCTCTTAGAGCATAAAGTGGCCAGCAAAGTGACTGGCAAACATGTGCTCAGTAAATGTAACTTATAATTATCACTTATAAATAATATTCACTTGCTCAATTTGCATGAAAGGATCCTTAGGGAAAGAGATAAATTCTTAGGGTACCCTCCAAACCAGAACCCAGGTGGGGAAGATCAAGGAACATCTGCTCAATAAGGCCTGCTTCCAACTATCTCCCAACAGGTACAATGGCCTGATTGGAATTTCCATCATCACTGATACCCGTACTTTGTGTGGTCCTTCCTCATACTTGTGAGAATTAAGAAGCCAGCTCATGAATGGAATATGCATGCCCTACTGTAACACTCTGAACAAACCCTGGCCAGGTTCTGCAGAAGACGAGTCTCCTTTCCTGTATGTTTTGAAATGTACAGGGATTCAGACTTGTCACCTGTCTGCAAAAATGCTGGAAAGATCTCCAAGGTTTCCAAGGACCCTTCTGAACGCTCACATCTACAATGGTTTCATAAATGTTATCATTGTTGGCTGCAGTCAAATGGGTTTCTTTGTCTTAGGGCTTCATATGACACCTCAAATGTGTTAAACTCCTAGGACCTGTGACGAATTATAGGCAGAACTATGTATTTCACAAAGCTCTAACTAAATTTTTATGTGTTTGTGAAAGCGGTGTAGATTTTTCAGGGCACACACATGGATTTCATTCCATTATGAAGGAGTTGGTGACCCATGAAAGTTAAGAACCATCTCTCTGTGTAACTGGGGCCCAAACAATTAAGTTGGCTTTCTTCAGTCTGATTTTCTGGGGTCTGGTCACCAGCCCTGAGACAGCATGAAAGAGCTGGTTTGTCGTTCTGAACACATGACCTCCTGGAAACAGGGAAGCAGTGATCCTCAGAACCAGGTGGCCTGTACCGACTGCCAGCTATAGGAACCTGAGAAAATACTTATTTTTTTTATTCCTTCCCTTTTCCATCTATAAAATGGGATAATGACAGCACCTACTATATGTAATTGTGAGTCTCAAGTGACTGCTCAGAGCAGTGATCACTGTAGTGATCAGTGAATGTTAGCTAGCACCATCATCTGCAGCCAGTTTCACTGGAAGCAATAGCTGCAATGTTTTGGTTTCCATTCCATTGCTGTGCAGCCAGCCTCCCCTCTTTTGATAAAGACATTGATGAGAATCATGTCATCCAGGTACACACCAATCTGAGCTGTTCACATCTACAGATAAAGCAAAACTTCATCAATATAAATAAAATAGACACAGTGAAGGGAAATACTTACATGAACTATTTTCCTTTGCCCAAGGACTGTGCATTCTCTGCTGTACACTTTTCTCCACGCTTTCTTTTAATATTAACATTTCAATATTAGTCCCAACATGTTCCAGACATCCAGTGGATTCTCTCTACTTTATGGATTTGGAACAGGTTCGTTTCTCTGACTACACAACTAAGAATTAACCTCAAGTTTCTGGATTTTAAATGCCAATCAAACCAATCCTCTCTCCCTAGAATTCCCTGTCTTTGTAAGTCATGGCTTTCTCCACCCTGGCCCTCTCCCTACAACAGGGCTCTCCTCGGCTCTGCTCTTTGAACTCAGAGAGCACAGTAGGAAACAAGCACTAACATTGAGCTCACTCAAGCTTACTCATTCTCATTTGCATACTCCTAGTTTCCCCAGTGCTAGCATCATGAAGTTTAGAGCAGATCATCCCTATATCTGGGACTGCATTCAGTAGTGCCCTATACATTGCCATGAATGATTTGTCCAAGAAACAAGATTCATCATCTTGCAGACTGTTTAGGAAATTTAGGACATTTTTAGTTCAATGTGGGGAAATTTGTTTTCACTTACTTCTAAGAGACTTTAACAATGCAGCTTCAAGTTCTTCTCAAGTTACAAAAGGAGGTAGAAGGTAGGGGAGTGTAACACAAACAATAAAAGACCCAGAGACAGGTATTGGGGTTCAAGCTTCAAGTTAAAGATCAGAGAAACAAAGCAACCACGCCAGTAGATCTCACCTCTACCCAGCTGAAATGGCAGTCCTGTCTCCACCAATCCTCAGAGGCAAAAGCTCTGAGTTCCTGTCTCCTCCTCCTTTTATTCCTTTCTCTGCCCAGCCATATCACTCCTGTTTCCACCTCCCTAGTGCTGGGATTAAAGGTGTGTGATCCCAAGTGCTGGGATCAAAGTGTGAGCTCTGTTTCTCTTTTAGACTGATTCAAGCTCGTGTTGCCCTGGGTGGCCTTTAACTCAGAGATATCCATCTGCCTTTATCTCCTGAGTCCTGAGATTAGAGGTGTATGCACCACTGCCCGGCTTCTATAGCTAACTAGTATGGCTGCTTTGCTATTTTGAACACCAGTGGCTCTAACAAATCGGAAACAATATATCGGCACAGGGGAAGAGCTCACCACATGAGTCTATGTTTTCCTCGTTCTTAGTTAGGGCTGGAGACATGGCTGAGCAGTTGTGAGCACTGGCTCCTTTTTCAGAAGACCCAGGTTCAGTTCCCAGCACCCACGTGCTGACTCACAGCTATCTGAAACTCTAATTTCAGGTGATCTGATGCTCTGTTCTGACTTTGTAAGCACCAGGCATGAACATGGTGCACAAAAATATATGCAAACAAACACGAGTCATATACACCAAAGAAAGATAATTTTTAAATAGGAATTCTTACAGGGGAAAAATTGAGGTGGGCTTATGGAATTTAGAAGTTCAAATTATTTTCAGACAATAAAGGAAGAAAGACACACGAATGCCCTCTTATTAGATGTTATCTGAATTTATAATCATCCAGCAAGCTTTGCAACAACAAAACCCTGTAGTGCACACACTCACTCTTCTCCACAGAGCCCTGTTTAGCAGCTCCTTTCGGCTTTCTTTGGTCCTTCTACATTTTATTACACTCTGCCGTACTTCAGCCACTGAAATTCTTTATTTTGTTGGCAAAGGAAGACACTTTAATTGGGGTTGTTGCTACTGTTGTTGTGAATTCAAGCTCTTTTCAATATTCAAAACTAAAGGTTGATGTAGCATGCATGTCTGTGTACATTTTCATAGGAATAGATTTAATGACAGAAAAAGTACTGAGAAAATGTTAGGTAAAACAAGAAGAAATTTTCACCAATTTAAATCAACTGGAGTTTTCTCTTGAGTCTCAGAACTAATATAAGGACCATCTCCAATCTTCATAAGAGAGATAAAAACATCTTAGCTACTTTGCATCTAAATACCATAATTCAATTATACTGTGGCAATAAGAATTAGGGATATGAAAATCAATCTCTAATATCTCTCCTCTCTTTCCCCCTCCCCTTCCACTCCTCCTCTTCCCCTTGCCCCTCCTCCTCCTCTATTCCTCCCTTCCTCTCTGTCTTTTGCTCTCCTTGAAATCTGCCAAGGAGAGTCTTCAAATTCTGTATCCGGTTTCTTCCTCCTTGAATGTTTTTCTTGGGCATTTATGAATATACAGTCTCCAAGAAGGGAAAGGAATGCTGAGCTAATATGAGAAAAACAAGCACTCATATGATCTATGTTAGTGCCACCTTCGTAAACTAATGATAAGAAGAATAATAGCAAGTGATAACCTTAGAAGCAGCCAGTGTGGTGGAGGTGGTGGTCGTGTGTGTGTGTGTGTGTGTGTGTGTGTGTGTGTGTGTGTGTGTGTGTGTGCGCGCGCGTGCGCGCACGCGAATGTGTCTGTGCCTGTTCCTGTGTCTTTGTGTGTCTATGTCTTTGTGTGTGTCTGTGTGGTTTGTGTTCATTCTGTTTTGTTTCATGGGCTCTACTACATAGATAAGACTGTACTGCTTGAGCCTGAAGAGTGGTTTAAGGCTCATGAGGGAGATGTACACTTTGTTCAAAGCTGATCCTAAAGGATGTTTCAAGCAGACACTTGCAAGAGAAGAATAAAATGTCATTGTGTATTCATGGTGAAAAGAAAGGGTAACTCACCTGTGACCTCATCACAAAGCCACCTGCAGGTACTCAGTTTTTTTCATCCTTTTACTTATCATGAAAAATACCAAGAGAAATGCTAATTTCCATGCCAACCTCTTCACCAAAAGCCTCAGGGTAGGAACCCCGGAAGAATGTACCCAGGAACTTGTAGAATAGGGATGGGAAAAGTTACAGTACAGATTGGATAGTGGCATCTGGAACAGACTGGAAGATGTACTGAGCCATGTACACGGAAAGCATCTGCTGCTCAGTGACGAGGCTTGAAAATGAACATAAGCACAATAACCACGTGTTGAGGGCTCCATATATGTCAGGAAATTTGTGTGCATGCTTTCCTTTAAATCTCCCCAAGAGCCCTATGGAATACATATTGTAGCCCATTATTGAATTAGGAAGACACCAAAGCCAATCAGGTAAACGTCTCAGGATACATTGTCAGGGGATAGAAAGACAAAGTGAGAGCCATGTGCCA